GATGCATTGTTAAATAATTTTAAACACATATTTGCCAAAGATAAATACGATGTAGGCCAAGTGAAAAATTATGAAGCATTTGTAGACCTACAAGTAGAAAAATATTGCTCTAAAAGACCATATAGATGCTCCTTATATGATAAAGAAGAAATCGAGAAGCAAATTGGACAATTACTAAAGAATAACTTAATTGAGGAATCTTATAGCCCATTTGCAGCACCAGTAACATTAGCATTCAAACGGGATGAAGGAAAAAAGTCAAGATTATGCATAGACTTTAGAGACCTTAATAAGATTATTATCCCACAACCACAGCCATTTCCACTGATTGAAGATCTAATGGTAAAAACGATAAACTGTAAGTATTTTACTACTCTCGACATTAATTCTGCATTTTGGTCTATACCATTGAGGATCAGCGATAGAGAAAAAACCGGTTTTGTTACACAGGAAGGTCACTATCAATGGACCTGTCTGCCTTTTGGACTTAAGACATCTCCGGCAATTTTCCAAAGAATCCTAACCAACATAATAAGAAAACATAACCTGTCTGATTTCGTGATGTGCTACATTGATGATATTATGGTGTTTTCGAAAAGTTTTAATGAACATATGAACCATTTACAGAAACTACTAGATGCAATTGCTGAAGAAGGATTCCGTCTGAAATTAACCAAATGTAAATTTGCAGCACAGTCTGTAAGATTCTTAGGACATATAGTAAAAGGTAACACAATAACACCATTGAAAGATAACCTCAGATCTATAGCAGAATTTCCAGCACCACAAAACAAGAAACAAATAAGACAATTTCTGGGTAAAGTAAATTTTTATAATAAATATATTCCAAATGCTACAATAACCCTTGACCCAATACACAATTTACTTAGGAAAAACATCAATTTCTATTGGTCAGCAGACTGTGAAAAAGCTTTTCAAACAATAAAAAATAATTTATGTTCTGCTCCAATTTTGGCTATTTTCGACCGAGACGCGCCAACTTTTATATACACTGATGCAAGTTTAAAAGGAATTGCTGCAATACTAAAACAAAAACAGAAATGTGGAGAAATCAAACCAGTGGCATACTTTTCAAAGAAGTTGAATGAATCACAAAAAAAGAAGAAAGCCATATTTTTAGAATGCTTAGCTATAAAAGAGAGTTTAAAATTTTGGCAACACTGGCTAATAGGAATCTCATTCACAATTTACACAGATCACAAGCCTCTAGAAAACTTAAACATTAAAAACAGAACAGATGATGAACTGGGAGATATGACTCACTACCTATCACAATACAACTTTATAATAAAATACAATCCAGGTAGAAACAATACAGAAGCAGACTGCTTAAGCAGAAATCCTGTATATGAAAGCCACGAGAATGAAGAAGATAATTTGAAAACAGTGAATATTGTAAGGATTGAGGAAATATTGGAGGACCAGAACAACAATCCAAACATAAAGAACAAACATAGTTATATTAGAGAAAATGGTATATATTACAAATGGAACAACAAAAAGAAAAAAATCGTTTTGTCCGAAGAGTACAGTAAAATATTAATAAAGAAAGTACATGAGCATTTCTGCCATATAGGAATAAATCAGATCGAGTCGAAAATAAGACCTTTTTATACTGCACCAAACCTACTGGATAATATAAAGTTGATTTGCCGCCAATGTGAAGTTTGTATAAAAAACAAAACACGATTAAATAAAAATTATGGACTCATGTCACAATTAGGACCAGCAGAGAGACCTTTCCAAATCATGTCCATTGATACAGTAGGAGGATTTGGTGGCAACAGGTCTTCAAAAAAGTATCTACACTTGTTAATCGATCATTTCACACGTTATGCTTACATTTTATGCTCGAAGACACAACTGACTAGAGACTTTATAAAACTGGTTGATCAAGTAATCAAGGATAATGACGTTGAGATATTACTTTCTGATCAATATCCAGCATTAAATTCAAAAGAGTTTAAAAAATATTTAAAAGACAACTCCGTTAATTTAATTTTTACAGGAGTGGATGCTCCATTTTCGAACGGTCACAATGAGAGGTTGAACCAGACGCTGGTAAATAGGATTAGATGTGCCTTGAATAGCAAAGGGAAAGAAACAGCCTGGACAACCGTCGCAATGGATTGTGTAAAAGCCTACAACTCTACAAACCATACAGTGACAGGTTATTCACCTTTATATCTGTTAAGTGGAGAACAGACTGATGTGCTACCAAAGGACCTTAAAACAAATCAAATGGAACCTGGAAAACTGGAAAAAGACAGACATACAGCATTTCTAAGATCACAAAAATCCCATCAATTAAACAAAGCAATTTTTGACAAGAATAGAGTAGATTACAAGTTTAAAAAAGGAGATATGGTTTACATAATGGACTGCAATAAGTTGAATAGGTCTAAATTGGATGAAATTAGAATAGGTCCTTTTAAGATTGAAGAAATGGTATCGGATTCACTATGCAAAATCAACACTGGTAAGAATAGAAGACACTTGGGATTGTACCATGTGACAAAGCTCATTCCCCAATTTGGTTGCTCAAATTAAATCTGTTCAAAAATAGATCTCTTAACTTGACTAAAATTAAAGAAAAATGTATCAAAAATGCACGCACTAGGCCAGGCTTCTTACGCAGACTTTCATGGCACAGCTGTTTCGTGTGATACACAAATTACAACATTAATAAAGAATAACTGCGGAGTACCACTGACATTAAAATTCTTCTCCATTCGAATCTACATTTTGGAATTGGAACCTAGCTTCACTGACGGACTGACTGACAGATTATTATTTATTTTGTATTTGTTGACGTTTTAAAAGTAGGTACCATATTATGGTTTAATTGAATTAAATGCTTTGACTTTGACTTTGAATTAAACCTATGCATAACAGTAAATGATTTTTATTAGAATATGAACCACTTTCTGCTTACCCATAACATTTCTAAGGTTTAATGTTACTCAATTTTAGTCTTAATTTTATACAGAAGGACCGTACGTACTTTTAACTGAACAGGATTTTTTAATTAAAATAAGAACATGTAGGTACCCGAAGATAGTAATGGGTGGGTTCTGGTACCTATTGTCAATAACACACATGTTTTTTTGTTCAATTTCCATTCCAAAGTAAATAAGATTAGTAATAGTTATTGATATTCATTTATAATTTGTAAACCCACTATTTGTTGTAGGCACCACTTTTGTAGTATTTTGTCACAATGTACCTATATTCAATAAATATTTTTATATTGTATCTTCCCAATGTGATGTACAATAGATCTGTCTATATTCCTTACTCACGTCGTATATACATAGAGCTAGTTCACAATCATACCAACCTACCTACAAGAGGCACATAAGCCAAAGCGTATTTAAACGATTTTGCTTTATGATGAGCTGTGATACGTCTTGCTGGAGGTTTATTAATAAGTATAAAATGCTACATAATAATTATTAAGTATAATAATGTAGTGTTTTTGTAGTAATTCACAAAGTACCTACACACTTAATTAGGATATGATTATTTTTTGGCTAGTTTCAACAATGTCGAGTTGATTTGCTGAAATTGCATAACTAACTGCACGTCTCTAGTAACAGCATGTACTAGGTATGTATCCAATATGTATCCAAGTATTAACCATCGTTATATAGACTGTTAATGAATAATCTGTCACCGGAAAAAACAAGAACTGTAAGTTTATAAATTTCCTAGGAAAAATATAAATATCCGTACGATTTTAAACGAGATAATACAATTTGTATTATTTTACGTTGTTGTCATTTTCCGGTGACATATCCATATGAAATTGTGCAATAAAGTCGCCTATTACAATTATGAATTTAAGATGTATTGCTAAATTAAAACAATAAAATATAAATAAATAACAAAAGTGTTTTATTGCTATAACAGAAACATACATAATTAATTAAGTTATACTAAAAGTAGTGAATACATTAGTTTAAGACATTATAATATAAATTCATAATAAATTACATTTATAATTATCAATTGTATATTTATAAAAACATAACATTGTGTATACGGAAAATCAACAAATTAATATTGCCTAATACCTAGGTGCCCAATTTACCTGCCCAGTAATATTATTGTATGTAACAAAGATAAATAATATTAAATGGCTCCAAATATTTTTAATGAGGATTTATATATAAAATACAAACAACACAATAGCACATAACACCTTATAGTTGTTGTGGAACATCATTCATAGCAACAATGGTAGTATGTGAACAGTAAAGCGATGTGAATAAATAAACTTAATCATTGAAGGTAACTTTCCCAGTCTAAATATTTGCAGGCAGTCCAAATAGTAGAAAACTATGTATATTTAAATAAATTCAATTTTCTACTATTTTTAACAAATGCAAACATTATAAGGCTAATATGACATTTAAAATTACCCAACATCAAAATTAGGCTAAAACCATAGACTGACAAGCAAAGAGCAACGTTTTAGATTGATTGTTTTGATAGTTTTAATCGAGTTTTAATTAGATTTGCCAATAAGTGAGATATACAAACCCTATTAAAGGTAAGAATTGGTACATCTAAGGTTTATAAATACTCAAACGCCACTCAATTTTAAGGTACAGTTTTGTCACTACAAATTCTTTGTAAAATGACAGAGATGGCACGATATTTAAGTACAACATGAAATTGGGTAACATTTCAGTATTCGGGTGTTATATACTACACACGACCCACTGTACCCTTGCCATCTGAAATTGACTACCATACTTATAAGTAGGTACTTAAAATAATAATATTTTTGTGTATTATCTAATTATGAATGTCTTGCTTGATTGAATAGATATGTCAGGCGACCCGAGGAGATCAAGGCAATTGATTACACAGTTTAGTTTGTAATTAGATCAATACATAATGTTACTTAAAAACATAATTGCATACGGTTAGCGTAGTAGTTGGGTGACCGGCTGCTGTGCAACGTGTCTCGGGTTAGATTCTCGCGCCATCCAAAAACAGATAATGGCATTTTCTAAGTAAAATGAACATTATTATCATGAAACCAGGGAGATCATCGGTGTTCCACCACCGTGCATCGGAAAGCACGTAAAGCAGGTGTTCCTGCGCTTGATCTCTCTCCGGTCGTGTCTGTCTGCCGTCCCCGGGTTCAGAGTGAGGGAACAGAGTGCACCTGTGTTTGCGCACACACTTGTGCTAATTATGTCTCCAGCGTAGTGGGCTAATCTAGTTAGACTGGCCACCATGATTGAAATCGATCGGGAGATTTATATCATATTATAGACGAAGAACGGACATAATGCAACTTTGTATGGAACTAGTTAACTACATATGTTATCAAGTACCTACCTACACGGTATTAAAGTCTTTTACACAAATTACGTTATTTCATTTGTTCATCAGTTTTGAAATTATTAATTTCTAGGATAATTTAGTTTATAGGTCCAGCACACATAAATATGGCAATAAATAATAAGTAGGTAACGGCGCAAATAAATGCATTTGTTATCTAACAGAGCTAATTAATTGCAATAGGTGCCCTTTATAAGTAGGTTTAACTCATTAAATTTATTGCTTTAGAAACATGATTATTAAACATTATTATCTTTACCGTGTTTTTGTGGCAAGGCCGAGGCCTAAATCGACTTGCCGCATATTTCTATATATGAAGGTGTGTACTTAGCATAGAATGGCTTGTGTGTAAATTTTATTAGACACCTTCATCTAGAATTATTTTTTACACAAATACTTTCATGATGCTCAAATGTGTCAATTACTTTGAAATGGCTTTATTTAACCTTTCAGTGGTCTCACATATCACTGGGATCACAGTGAATCATATTGAAACGCGCCTGAGCTTATCCGCCATACTGGTATACGCATTTATATATATATAAGGCCGGGTTGGCCGGGGTTAACAAAGGCGTAGCTGTGATGAGCAGAAAGGACATGTATTTTAATAAACCTTTAGAATTTAGTGATATATATTTTTTTTCAAATTATTTCTCATCAGCTTAAGTGGAGATCATACTGATTGGTTGTTATACACGTCTCCACTCTTCTTCTTTTATCTCCGTTTAGGTGGACTTCGGGCCTAACATATAAAAAAAATTTGTGGCCATTAGAAGGCTGTTATTAATGTCTATACTAATTTAAGTACTATATTTTTGTGATATTAACAATTAGCCTACTGAAATAATTTTGTTTTATCTTTAATTTATCAATTCTCTAAGCAAATGTCATAGCATCTTAATATTATATTATCGCACACTTTGCACACTGCATTACCAACTTAATTTTGAAAAGAGAATTAAACTGAGGTATACTGTACACAAATATTTCAAAGCTTGTTTTCATAATTGTGTATGTTTACATCTAAATAATATAAATACATGTATTTTATAAATATGTACATACCTATATCATAGGATAACATTTATAACAAAGGACACCAACATGGTCAAATAGAATTAATTTGTTTTTTTATATGATATTTTATATTTATAGTACCTGCTGTTCAAGGTTCATTTTTACATTCACATGTTCTGAAATATGTTTACCAAGGTCCAATAAACACCCTATGTTAAAAATATTATCCCTTTACAACTGTAAACACCATACAAGGGGCAAGTAATAATATTATAAGCTTTCTAATAATACTACCAATGTGTATCAGTATAGCCCACTTCTTTAATTTAATATTGAATAATAAAAAAACCTAGCAATGGGACTGCAAAGACATTATTTCGATTTACACATAAGTTTATGAGTTAATTTTTTTTTACTTGTGACAAATAAAGTCATACTCACCAGTGCTTAAATGTTTACAGTATCTTCATTAAATAGTATTAGCCTTGGAACAATATAATATTTTATCACATTATTGCATTTTGACTAGAAACTGTTTATTTTCTAGATGTACTCTTACTATCAGCCATCTACAGGTGGACCCAAATATATCATTGATACTTCTGTGTTGCCATAGACTGCTGAAACTGTTGGGTATAACTTCTTGTTAGGTAGGCCTGTAAGCAAGTAAATGTTTTAGTTATTGCTTTACAGGAATAGACCATTTCAGCAATGAAGACTAAAATAATTTTATATAGCAGTAGGTGGTTAAAGTATTTAGAAAAAGGATGTCATTTACCTCGAAATGCAACTCCCAAAAATTCATAATTTCTTTCAAATGATAAGGTATTGTCTTCACAGTCTAGAATAACTCTTATTCGCTCACCCACCTGGAATGTGATACACAAAATTTTAAGCTTTGTAATATTAGTATATTTTTGACATTGGTCTAACATATTTTAATCTACACCAGTATTACAACAATTTTAATAAAAAGTAGGATAAACTAAACAAGTAGTGCCTAAATAATCTATTTTATATATAAAAGAAAGTCGTGTTAGTTACACCACTTATAGCTTAGAGCCAGGACACGGACATAAGATACTTTTTATTATGACTGCCAATAGAAAACTGTTTTCAAGGACTAATAATAGTATTTAGGTACATCAGAATCAGATATTTTAAAGAATAAATACGAATTCAATTAACCAAATACATAATATTATCTTCTGCCCCCTGGTTTTGCTCGCGTTCTTTTAAAGTATTGAAAGGTTTACTAATGATAAAAAAGAATTGTTACCCGATGTTTTCCTGGTCATAACTATGATACTAATTATAGATTTCTCGAAAATTACGAAATGCTCGATACAAACTTAGAGAGAAATATATAGAGATGTAAATATATAGAGCATAACCAGGGTCGTAGATATCATAAAGAGCCTATCTACAGTACAACTGCTTAATATACCAGGGGCGCCAGAAGTAATAAAGAACTATCTACAATACAACTGCATATACCAGGATCGCAGAGGTCATAAAGGACTGTCTACAGTACAACTGCATAATATACCAGGGTCCCAGAAGTTATAAAGAACTATCTTCAGTATAACTGCGTAATTGACCAGGGTCACAGAAGTTATAAAGAACTATCAACAGTACAACTGCATATACCAGGATCGCAGAAGTCATAAAGAGCTTTCTACAGTATAACTGCATAATATACCAGGGCTTTCTACAGTACAACTGCATATACTAGGATCGCAAAAGTCATAAAGAGCTTTATACAGTAAAACTGCATAATATACCAGGGCCGCAGAAGTTATAAAGAACTATCTTCAGTACAAAAGTTGCCATTAAAGGGGAACAAAGTTCGCCAGGTCAGCTAGTATTTATATAAAAAAATAATAGTATAAGATCTTACCACTATCATAAAAGTATTAATATAATCAGTTACCTATGTACTTAAAACTACACCAGATTTTTACAAATACCAGAACAAAAATTTTAAAAACAATAATAAAATAAGTACATTATTAACTTAATAATTTAGTCTTAAAGTGTCAAACACCGAGCGGTCACCGATGACCGCAACTTATTGTTCTTTAATTGTATCTATAATGACGGTACTCAACGAGTTAAGTGGGGTAATTGTTAGAATTGTATTTAGATATGGCAAAAAGAAATTCCTGAATAAGGTATAATTTTCATGAGTATGTCTTACCTGGTATTTAGGACAGTTATTCAGGAGAGGATAGTGTCCTTGAGTATCACCATTATGTAACAAATGATTATCAACTAAATTCCAACCCCAACTTTGTTCATCGGATCCCAACAGTCCCACATACCCATGGCATTCCAAGGGTGCATCTTTAGTTGATATACCTACTACAGCTACAGTACCTAAAGGGCCTTCCCATATCACCTCCCAAGCATGCCTTCCATGATAAAAACCAATTTTCCCTCTACAAGCATCAGTACTTTGAGCTACAGGGTTTCTGTAACATTAAATTTATTATATTTATAATAAAAATATTAATTTATTTAAAGACATACTCATAATACATTAAAAATACACACCTGTGCAATGTAAAGCCATTTGCTTTGACATATATATTTCGAGAACAGTCGTGAGGATTCCAAGCATGAAAATATGCTCTCAATTTAGATTTGTAAGTGCTAACAGTCGAGAGTAAATCAGACTTCAGTACCTCTTCTGCTAATCTTTTAACACAATGTAGTCGCCAAACATCATTATTTTCGTCATTTAGAATTCTATACCAAGTTTTACAAACCAAAGCACAGTTACGGAGATCTTTCAAACGAAGATATGAGAAAATATTTTCTAAAATATTGTCAGTATTGACGACGACTGCAACTGCATAGTCGTCATAGAAATCCAATTCATTCATTATTAACATTTAGAAATACAATTGCAGGACAGCGTATATAATAAAAGTACAATATATTGTAACGCAATAACGTTTAAACACATCAATTTTATAAGATCAAGATTTAGGCGTTTGCGTTTAGTGCTTGCTCATAAATCTCAAAAATGTAAACATGATAGCACAACAGTCAGACAGACACTGTCTGTCAAAAAGTTCAAACAAAAGTAAAGACATAGACATAAGACAAAGATAAGGCTGCTGACCATAGATTTATACCTTTATCCATTATATCATAGAAAATATAAAAAAAGTTGCTATTTACAGTCTCGTGTGTTTATTTTATTGTCGTGTCGTGTGTATGCACAGTTACAGTTCGTGCAAATAAATGTTCTTATTCTTCTTATTCTTTGCTTGACTGCCTGCCCGCGCTTCAAGTAATGAATAGCCTTATATTATACCTATTTAATACTTATTACACTCTTTACATAGTATTCACTAAAAAAAGCCCTTGAGGAGTGTGTAAGTATTTGACTCCATAAGTCAAGCTAATGTTCTAAGAATGTCTGAGGGTGACGTCTGTTCTCTCGTTTTACCATACTTCCTCGGTGACTCAAAGAGAAACAAAAAACTTGTAAAATACCGTAGACAGAGAATCCGATTGCTTAACATTTTCTATCTATGCAATGCAAAAAAAACAAGAAATTGACAGTGACAGCGTTAGTCGGATATGTCAAATAGTGTCAATTCAACCAATGTGACATTGGCAATGTCATTTTGTTATGAATTTCAGGTTTCAGTTCAGTCAAGTTAATCGTTGATACTTTGGGGATCAAAAACATAATAATAATTAACACTTTTGAATTACAGTCTCACATTATTTAATATCCATATATAGGTATGTTCTTTAATTAACAATACTCTTTTATATATAGGCAAAACTATAATAGGAATAATAGAGCAGAAACTATTTTTTTACAGTTCGTGTAAAGAATCTCCTCAATACAAAATGCCGGCAATTGATTCAGCTTTGAGTGATGAGGATTACATTATTGCCAAAGCAAAAGACGCCCAGAAGTATAATATTCACTCGGCAAAAGCATGGATGTTAACTGCAAAAACATTATTTCCTGCAAACTTTAAAATTCAATTTGAAGCTTACTTGATGGAAAAGCAATCTGGAAATGTCCAAGAAGCAGCTGAATGTTTTAGTTCCTTAATGAAGTCGAGGCAGAATCTTCCATCTTTATTACCTGAAATATCAGCAATTGCTAATGCTTTAAGATCATCGGAAGGAAGCTTTTTAAGTCAAATGTTTGATAATATTTGTCCAGATATACAATTGACTATACTCAAGACAAGTGTTGAGAATAGTGATGACACAATGGAACACTGCCGTTTACTAGTTTTACTTTTAAAAAAGTTTCCTCAGCTTGGTGTTGATAGTTTAGTGAAGACGTTAATTAATGCTGAAAAATTCTTTTATGACAACCGCTATGCTAGACTTTTAGTAGTAGAAACATTGCCATTACTCAGTTCTTTAGAATCACCAAGGTTGTTACAACGCTTGGTAATAAAAGCTATAGATTTTTATAACTCTTATGTTTATGATGAAAATGAACATGATATTACAGATCCATGGCAAAGACTCTTTGGTGTCTTAGATTTGATGGGGAGGCAATTGGGTTGGGATTCATTTTTTGTAAATTATAGCAATAGTTTAAATAAAGAAACATATTTTCAAAAATTATTGACATTGAGGAACAGTGAAGACTGTCGTCAACTCTTGTACTGTGGAACAACATTCTTTTTGAGATCACTCTATGAACATAAATCTTTAAAAGGAAATCATATTCTTGTAGAGGCCCTCTCGGATCCTGAAGTTGCCCCATCTAAAAGAAGAAAAGGTGATTTGGAAGTTACTGGTATATCATCACATCAATTCCAAGCTGCTGCTAATTGTTGGGAGTTGCTACACAGCAATGATCTTATTTCAAGAGAATTCACAAAACTGGCAAATCAATTACAAACCAAGCCATGGTCTGAAGGCTTTGCTGATGAATTTGCTTTATACAGAGGAAAATATGAAGAAGCTATGCCTCAAGCAACGGTAACAAATTTGACAGCTTGTGTAGTAAGAGTATCTATAAATTATTTCCAAAAAAATTATACTGCCTGTATTGAAAGTATACTGGCTGCATTGCCCCAATTACCAAATGTAGAAGGCATTTTAGAACCTGAATTGATTGTAGGGGGAAAACATAGACATCTACATTTCTTGCCTCTTACTAAAGTTGCCATTATGCATTACTTTTGTACATTACTTATAAGAATTTTATTAAACACTGGTAATACCACTGACATAGCATATGGTCACATGCTTGTACTAATGCAACTTGGATGGCCACAGGAAGAAGCTATATTTATTCGTATACTTGATGTCATAAGACAAAAAGGTGTATTTCACTATCACCTTTTCACTTCATACATAATTCACATTGATATATTAGAAGAACTGAGTTTTATATGGAATGAACAGGGAAACAATGTTGTGCTCGATATTTTGCCAAATTCTCAACAACATTTGGGACAGCGAAGAATCGGTACCAGAGGAGCAGATAAAGGTGTGAAAGAAGATTTTAAACAAGCTATGAAGGCGCAAGTCGCAAGGAGTAATGAATCTGTGCTAAATGTAATGATACATTTCATTACATCCGAAAGAGCTTTTTTTCTACAGTTAGGATAACATTCTGTTAGATGTTAACCTTTCGTCTACGGGTATATGAGACACAATAGAAAACACATTGTCTCGCGCAGATCTGCACTCCAGTATATGAAGGGCTAAATCATTCACATTACATATAACATGTGTAGATAGGAGATAAATGAAATAAACCCACTTTTATATAATAATGATTTATTAATAATGATAAAATTAACAAAATCTTAATGATTATAATAGCATGTTAAGGATATAATTTTGAAGTTTAATTACTATAAACTCAAGTGCTCTAAATGCTTCGGCAATAGGTAGTGTTTACTTAATAAAAATGTAAATGTAATCTATGCTTTCATTTTATCTTATATTTAATTTTATTCATGAACTTCCTTCATAGGAACCTACAGCAAGTAGAAGGTTGCGTCGGGTGAAATGTAGACCTTTAATAGGCGAATTTTTGGTGGCAAATGAACGCAACAAATATTTGTCCTCCTTTTGTACAGCATTGTTAGTAGAACTGACTTCTTCACCATTAGCTTCTTCCGTGATAGCATTGAAATCCCATAATTTTATGCTACAATCCAAAGATCCTAAAATAAAAAATCATTAATTTAGGAGCATAATTTTATTAAGGTACATTTATATATTATAACTATAATAAAAACCACAATTTCTTCCTTGTTTTATGTTAATATGTGGGTAATTACCTGAAGACAAAATGGTGCCATCACGACTGAAGGCCAATGCATGGATAGGAGCAGTGTGTAAAGGTGGCAATATAGCACCAGGTGTACCAGTAGAAATATCCCATACTATGAGTTCACCATTACCGCCTGAGGCGAGCCATCGCCCGCAAACAGAAAATGCTAAAGTAAATATTGTAGACTGAAAAATAAAATAATATTCAGTCATATTATACACTACAATCAAATAAAAAAACGAAGGTTTCACAATTACTTTAAAAAAAATTACCTTATGACCAGTCATAATTCGAACTTGTGTTCCTGTTAAACAATCCCATAGGCGCACTGTTCTATCACTAGAACCAGTAGCCACATAATTGGAGTTTGGATGAAACTGGACACACTGAAATATAAAAGAGGGTTACTGAAATATGTACTACATAAAGTTCAATTTTATTTAGTTTTTGCAGTGCAAGCAACATACGTCAACATCCGATAAATGTCCCGAAAAGATCCGTAGAGGTTGATGGTGATCAGTTGCCCACAGCCGTGCAGTGCGATCATGTCCAGAGGTTACAAAGTAGTGGCCGTGTGGAGACCAGCGTACATCCCAAACTGGCCACACATGACCTCTGTACACCACCAAACAAGTCCAGCATTGGAGGGACCACAATCTCACTGTAACAAGGAACTTTAATCTTAGACTCAGGGTATTTTTAAGTTATTTATTATATTTTAGTTATATCATCCCAAAAAATATTTTTCCAAAAGTATAAAAAATACAAATTAACTCACCAGTGGAATCTTCAGAAGCTGACAGCAGCATTGTTTTGAAAGGATCAAAAGCTACTTTGTAGACTGGACCGGAATGCCCATACAGAGATCGACATGTGTCTCTATCTCTCTCTTCCATCATTCTTACAAGTACATCACCTAGAAATGTTTAGCATACTATTAAAATTTTATCACATAATTATGTAATTTTGAATGCAACATTTATATTCGCCATTATCCATTATGGGCCATGTGTCGCAATCGTGTTGCTAAGAACAACTGGCGAATGACAAAGTAATTTATTACCTACATAACATAATATAACATCACGCCTTTTATCCCGGAAGGGGTAGGCAGAGGTGCACATTATGCCACTGTTATTTTATTTTCAAAATTAATCCTTAAAAATAACTGCCTCGTCGGTTGAGTGGTCGCAAGTCGCAAGTGCCGGGCAAGGGGGTCTCGGATTCGATTCCGGGGTCGGGCAAATTATCACTGGGTTTTTTCAAAAAATCTCAGTAGTAACACGGAGTCTGAAATTGTGCACGGAAAATGGCAATATAGGCTCACCCCCTATTACGTGGGACTCATAACATAAATATTGAAAAGTGGGTGTTACATTGTTACAATGTACACCTCTGTCTACCCCTTCGGGGATTAAAGGCGTGATGTTGTGTTATGTATTGAGGTTGTCTCTAAGACGAATTTCCCAATAATTTTTGTAAAAAACGTAGTGTTGGTTGCCTGACTGATCATACAGCAAAGAGTATAATAAGTATAGGGGCACCATGGTGCCTTAACGAAATGGGGTTTTAACTCCATACCTGCTTCTCTGTCAATGTCAAGTAACTTTTCTGCAGACTTCATTCCACGCAATTTTACTGGAGTCAATGTCCACACCTAGTGTAAAATGTTCTTATCAATATTTTGGTAAGTGTAACACAATTTTAAAAATTGTAGTATAACATACTCGATGGGTATGTATAAAATATACTACCCACTATGGAGGAGTTCAGCTTTAAGTTTCACACAAAATAAAATATAGCACAGTATAAATGGGTTCCTTGCATACCTTAATACAGGAGTTACTAAAGCCTACAGCAAGTAATGTGGAGCCATCACAAATATCAGTACAAATTGCAGTGTGACCGCTATTAAGCAGTGTGTAGAAACAAATTGATGGTAAACTCTCTGGTCCCAGTTGAATACGCTTGGAGGCTTCTCTTATAGCTTTCCCCTTTTCGATCTTGTCCGTTTCTTTTCTGACAAAAGAAGATAAATTATAATAGACTAAGACACAGATCTTTATGGCTGCAAGGTCAGGACTTCCACCGCTGAACAAAGACAATGTATGAAAAATACTTACAGTTCTGGCAATGGAATTCTATCATTTGGAGGAGCATTTGGATCGGATTTAGGTTTTTTCATAAATATATTTTCCTTTTTTGCCTTTTTCTTTTTTGGCTTATCAGGTGTTTCTTCTGCTTCTTCTTCATCTTCCACAGGTGCCGGAAGTACTTGAATGTCAGGTTCTTTTAATAGCCCATAGTATACCTTTGTACGATTTTCTGTAAAAATTACAAACAATTGTTTATTTTAAAAGGTTCTCAAAAAATTTATTTGAATTGACATAATTCACTGAAAAATACCATTTTTAGTTGCTTCACCAAGGAGTCCACCCGTAGTAGAACGTACTTGAGCTTGCGTTCTGCCAGGACCGTCATGTACTTCTACCTGAATGTGGTTATTTATGATGTTGATTATTACAGTTGAGCTCTTCTGTTCTTGGAGAAAACGTTTGAGCTGTGATGATGCATCTCTAGACAGTTGTACGACAAACTTATTTGTGCTGAAATATAAAAAGTGGATAATAGATATTGATATAGTTTTAAAAGAAAAGTAACAAAGAAAAAAACTATAAGTGACAATGTCCTGGTTTTACCTGTAAATTTCAGCCAACTCATTCCCTTTGATTTGGTCCTTATGTTTGACAATAGACAGCCGCTTTAAATCATCTTGGTAATAATCTTCTTGCTCCACTCCGAATTTTTCCAAAAAATTTGCAGCATGTTCATTATGGTCATACAATATTAGTGCCAGATACATATGAACAAACACTGGATACAAAAGTGTTGACAATTCATGCTGTAAATAAAATAATGCAATTTAATTCAACTTATCATCAACTCAAATAATACTAATACTTTCTACTATGGGCCAGTGATACATGGGTCGCGAAAGCTCCCTCCTGTCCAATCTAAAAGGCATCTAAGAAGTAACGATGGAGAGGGTGGAACTGGAAGGCACCCCTATACCATAGTAACTTAATTATTAAGTGTTTACTTGAGCTCTTTTCGGATAATTTCTGTACTTACCTTGTAAACATCCAGAGAATTCTCAATGAATTTCTTTAAGTTATCGTAGGCAAATTCATAGCTATAAGGATCACTCTCAGTGTGATGCGAAGTAAGAATACTCGCTAACTCGACTTCTGGAAGGTCTAAATTTTCAAATTCAACATCACCTAAGCTCGCTTCTTTCCTTAAAATATCTTCCGTACCCTAAAATATCAAAAGTAACACATAAATACCACACACCAATAGTAATTATCAATAAATAACATGTTTACGTCAATACAAACTTACTTTTAGATTATATTTTCTTAGAAGCTGTAGAACAGCCAAAAGAGGCGTGTTTTTTTCTGCCATTATACAAATTCTTGATGTATTTTATTTATTAAATTATTTTTTTCCATATACAATAATTGCAGTACACAGAGCCATATCCATGCACGACTGTCGAGGTCGACTCCACAGACTAGATACTACGTCACTACGTCGACTCTCGACTCTCGACTCGACACCACAGACAACATAGATACTACGTCTAACTCTTAAAATTATGTACATAGGTACACAATAATGCCCACCTTGTCCACAGATAAAAAAATACTATTACCAGTGTTGCCAAGTTTAAAATGTACGGTAGAATTCTTCTTAAAGTACGGTAGACTTTCCGAAATTACGTTGTAATGTACTGACACTTTTTTTCAGGTATGCCTTAAGGGAGGTTATTAGCTAGCTTTTACCCTTAGACTATTTAACAAATAGACACGTTATGAGTACTTATCATCTATGCAAAAAAGTCTCTCATTTTCGGCGCGGGGGATGAGGGTACGCACACAAGTAGTAATAATACATGAGACGCCACCGCGTTAAGCCCTTTGATTGGTTGGTCCATTGTAGCAGGCCAACCAGAGCGCTGAACGCGGTAACGTTTCGATTACTTTAAAAGTAAACAAAACTTGTATTAGGTCATTCTTGAGATCATCATTTTTTTGTCAGCAATGATATCTATAGGTCGAACAGTGTCGATAATTTTCCATGGACTAATTAATTATCTATTAGGTATTAACTACAAAAAGTGCTTAGTATTCACAATAAATATACTCGATAGACATCAAGGATTAGGATCTACCTTAAATTCTCTGTATCACTCCGCATAAACATATTTTTCAAAACTTCTCCTTCCTACCCATGGCTGTGTTGTTCGTTTTTTAGATGCAACACTCGTAATTCTTTAATA